CTACCACACCTGCTTTGGATGCTAGATCTGACCTAGATTTTCCAGATGAGTGACCAGGTTAAAGTATTTGGAGCAGGTCCATTCCTAAGTAAGTATTAGCTCTACCTCGAACAAACTTGCATGGATGATGCATCTAAGGATGGACACTACCACACTTGCCTCGGATGCTGGATCTGACCTACATTTTCCAGATGAGTGACCAGGTTAAAGTATTTGGAGCAGGTCCATTCCCAAGTAACTATTAGCCCTACCTTGACCAAACTTGCATAAATTTAAGGTTTCAAACATTTGTTTGATGCAATTTGATCCTCTTTTTTATTCTTTATACAATGTTATCATTAATTAAACAAAAGTTTAAGGAAAACATTTCAACTTTATCATACCATACTTAAAATGTGTATTCTAAAAAATTTCTGTTCTGTCTTAATTATGGAATTAAATGATAATCACACTTAAGGGCATTGTGTTAATGATTTAGACAGATATTCAATCAATTGTTTCCAAGGGTCTGTTTAAGAAAAACCTATGAGATATTAATAATGCATTTGTACAGTTGTTTTAATTTATGATTTTAATGTTGCTTCATCCAGTTAATTGAAATAGTTAACTTGGGAAGCCAGACAAATATATACATGTACCATTTGAGCAAATATGAAATTGCAGTATAGATAACCTCTAAAAACTGAAAATGAATTACACACAATGATGATGGTTAATTGCGTATTTTGGCCTAGATGCCTTTACTAGTTAAGAGTATTTAGTTTTTAAATAGATTCTGATACATAAGTGATGTTGGATGAAAATGAATGTTCTGATTGCTAGTAATTTATGATTGCAGTATGCCAGTATTTTAATGGGAATATCCAACACATTTGCTACTATTCCTGGAATAGTCAGCCCAGGGCTAACTGGTGTGATAGTCAGTGATCAGGTAATTTCAGTTTTCCAAGTCTTAAAATTTCTGCAACAGTTTAAACACTGGACATGTATTGTATATGTAAATATTGAAGTTGATGGGATTCCCATGGATTGCATACATTTGAATTTGCTTGGCACACGTGCATTACTAAATAAAGAGCCACAAAATCTTGGTTGGATAAAAGCTTAGCTATTATTTTGTTATATGGTACAAATAACTTAAGTCCACTTTCTTTAGAAATACATTATGAAGTAGAATTGCTCTTCCAATAACATCAGCATGTATAAATTCAAATATCGAACAAATAGCCCTTGTCTTTAATGAAACACTAAATATCCCCTTTATTTCAGCATGACAAGAGTGAGTGGCAAATTGTGTTTTACCTGGCAGCAGGAATCTACCTGGCAGGGGGCGTTATATACGGACTGCTGGCCTCGGGCCACAGACAGGAGTGGGCGGAGGTTCCTACAGGGTACATGTCACAAGTGGATGAAAATATCAAAGATGATCTTTGATGGGAGGATAAAGGTACTATAAATAAAACAACAAAGAGGAGGAGGAGAAAGGGCACAAAAGAGGAGGGGGATAGTCATTTAGTATTCACCTCAGGATCTCTAGAATTATGTCAAAATATTGTTATTAAATGTGCAATAGAATGAGATTTAGTGAGAAAGTAATTTATCTGTTGTGGGTCTGTATTTTAATTACATGTAATATGGTAGTAAATGTTTGAGTAAACTTTTTTCTCAGCTTTAGTTTTAAAAAAGACATTCTGTTTTATTGATATCATAGTTCTAGTATTCAATTCTGTAAAATCCATTGTGAAAAATTGAGGGAAAGTAAAACGTAAATAAATAATGCATCATACATATTTGTAAATTTAGCATCACAAAACGTATGTACCATGGTGTTATTGAAGGACAACTCTTTTCTTGAAGTGCTTTGATACAGAATAAAACATAACTGAGATGTTTCTAATATGATAAATCTCAGACTTTTGTAAGAGTCAAGTTTAATCTCCACAGTCCTATGAAGGAAGAATAAAGATACTGTTTTGATGTAATTTTCCAGTAAATTTAAACTTTAATATCTTAATCATTGATATCTTGAATATCATGGATATGTCAGATTAAGTTGGGAATCCTAGCCTCTTATTATGTAATTTAACTTCAATATCTCAAATCCTCAGGTATTTCAAAGTTTTTTCTAGCAAGTTCAAGAAAATGATGTTTGACTGTATATTTGAAATGCAGAATAAGATAGAAATTATTTTATTACTTTTTGACCATGATAGTAATCAAAAGTTTTCTTAGTATTTTCGAAAACTCTATTTCAGAGTGATACTGATTTTTTTTTAATTCTGATAATCTGAGATTTCAGTTACAATTCATAAAAATACTATGAAATTTAATTATTGTCTAAATCCATACTTATAACAACTACTTCCAAGTGTGTTCGAAAAATGGGATATAATATAGATATAACCCTATTTTTCTTTTGGTTTTAAGTGAAATTAGAATATTTTGTATATTCCGTAATGGTATGACAGGAATTTCTGATTAAATAACCAGGAATAAGTACAATATATTAAATCATTTCTGTGTCTTTAACAAAAAATGCTGAAGTTAAACAATATTTTCATTTTAAATTTTTGAGTGGCATTTTCTTAAAATGAAGGAATTTATGAAAATGATCTATATATTTTTTTATAATCTTGCAGCATTGATAGACATTAAGTTTTGTCTGGATGAGCTATTATAATGGTTTATATATGATAATGAATTTAAGCTTTTTATATATAGGTACAGCTGATAGTTAGTTATGATTAAATGCTGAGAAACAGAGACAGTTAAAGTTACGTTAGTTATGTTACCGGTATGTTTATTACGTTGATTTAGCATGTTAATTACATTCCAACCCTTCTACTTAAGACATCATTCCTTTACTATAAAGACAATCGTAATAGAATTTTTTTTTCAATTACTGTGCTTTCTTTATTTTATTATGCATCTTCCATCAGGTACCTGTAAATTTGAGTTTTACCTTTTAGGTCATTTAGAATATGTAATTAGAATGTATCAATGAAGGTAAATATAACCTGGAAGTACATGTACATGAAACATGACATAACTATATATTTTAAGTGAAAGCTAATTGAGAAATAGAGATTTTCTTATTATCCTTGGTGGTAAAAGATCATACTGAAAAAATGTATTTATGACACTTCAACTTTGTCTCAAGGAACTTGATAAAGTTAGATTTCTATTGATGTCTTCACAATATTTTTTCCATGCTTTAAAAAATAATCAGAAAATGGCATGCTTGGAAACACTCCATGTAATGTTAATCAAGTAAGGCTTGTGTAAGTACTACTAATTCAGTAAAATCAATCTTTTATGAAAGATTCACTGAGAAATTCTTGTTCCTTTGGGTGTTGTACTAAACAATTCACAGCCAGCTTATGCTCATTTTCACATCTGTTATCATTCAAAAAAGGGGGAGGGTGAGTAGATTATTGAAGAAAAAATAAATGAAGATCTGTTAATTTTTCTTTAGAGGATTAGAATTTTGTAGACACTGTGCCATTACGAGATTTTTCATTTAATGAGCTGAAACATGTTATCATATATGTCTATTATTGGTACATATAATACATTTCACTAATTGTAGTGCAGTATTATGTGATTTCATTTATTGATTTTTTTATTCCAATATATTATCAGGTAAAGCACAAACAATTCAGATCTAAAGTTGTTTGTCCTGTTGTTGTAATCTCTTGTTATAATTTTTTATTGTTGATGTTGTATAATCTTTTTATTTTTTGAATAATTTATTTCCACACATGCAATATGTAAAATCAAATTTTAAAGCTTAATATACATTATGCTAAGGTGGAGGTGTAAACATTGATATAAACCATATACATAATGAAACTTTACACCAAATATTTTAAGGAAGTGCTAGAATTTTTTTTATCAAAGTTTTTGTGTAATACTTGCTATAGGCAGTATAATTTAAAAAATATTATGGTGTTGTTCATGATCTCAGTTTTATGCCATAAATATGTAATTTGATGATTTTGTGGAGACAGTAAATTAAATGTGTTATTGCTAGTTCATGTTTTTAAATGGGAAAACCCCTAAATAACCGTTCCATACATACGGGAAAAAATCAAAATTAATAACTCAATCACGGGGGTCTTGTAGAAAAGGTCGTGCATTATTTTTTTTAATGAGCATCGCATTGTCTTAATGTAAGACTGAGCAATGGAACTGGCGTATCTAAAATTTTATCGATTTTTCAGTAAATATAAGATATAATACCTATAGAAAAATATACATCTATTAATTACTTTTTCTCTTTTATTGATAAAATCAGTAGGTGCACCGACGAATTTTTGATTGAAGTTTAAAAAAAATCAATGATGTAATTAATCAGCAGGTGAACCACTACTTCATTATGACTTAAGCGCCAGGCGGATCTTAAATTTTCTTGGTTTATCTTGACAGACGTTTATACATGTGCTTGTATCTTGATGAAGTAACTTTATTGCGTCTGACAGAAGATGGCACGATAAAAGTATGGCTTTCGCCTCAAAGACGAATAAGTAGGGAACCTCAGTAGATGAAACTGTGTGATGGACGGATATCCTTGGTGAAATACATAAAGTCAGTAACGTTTTACCATGAACTGTACTGTCTTAAGTGCATTTTCTAGTAATGTAATTTTAGATGCACTTAGGTGCATTTTCTAGTAATATAATTTTGTTTGGTCAAAATACTTCAAATATTGGACAAGTGTTTCTAGAAACAGCTCATCTATATAACTTATTAATTATAGTGAAGTCCAGATATGTGTCCAAAAAGTGATATACCTCCCAGCTTTAATGTTATAAGCATTGTGGCCTGCAACTATGTTCTACTTTGGAGCGAAGGTCAGCGAGCTATGACAGCTACGAGCTATGAGCTATGCCATATATGCACGTAACATATTTGTCCTTTCATGTTTTTAAATTCATTAAAATGAATTTGATCATTTTAAATTCTTATTACATAGAATGCTTACATTTAAAGTAAATAACCATATTCTGTATTCTTTTATTCGTGTAATGAAAGCATAAATACCGTCTCAGTTGCTTTGAAATGAACAATCAGATTCAAACTACACAAGGTCATAGGATGTTCAGGTTTTCATGATTTTCATCTTAGAAGTTTCTGTACTGGCTTTGGTGTTTTGCCTTTAAGATATCCCGCTTGAAATGGGTAAGATTTTTCGAAATTTGCGCTTGTTTTCTATCCAGCCGTTGTAGTTCACTGAGAGCAAAATCCCTCTTAGAACGTACCTCGGACCTTCCCTTGTTGGCGTATGATGAGCGCAAGGCAGTGTCGATATCTCGTCTCAAAAGTCCCCTATTCAAAGCGTCTGATTTCAGATCAAGATTAACAGCAAATTCATCTTCTTTAGGAGAAGCAAAAGGTACCCAGCTCGCCCTGCTATCAAACCTTAACTGCCTGGCATATTTACCGATATACGGGGATTTCCGGTGAACAGGAAGAGAAGCAACCGGAGGTGGAGTGTACTCCGGAACTCTCACGGGAACGTAATCCCTGACAGAGGAACGTGCACGTCTTCGTGTGGGGGATGCAAATCTAGGACGTGGAGTGTATTCCGAAATGGGTATGTAATCCCGAACAGACGAACGCGCGCGGCGTCTCCTGGGTGAGGCGTCTCTGGGAAGCGGGGTGTAGGACAGATCATCATCACGGATCCAATCCTCAAGAGCATACCGACGTTGGCGAATTTCATAGATGCTATCGTCGTAGCTTCGGGTACCAGTATACAAGTGTTCTGTTGGGTTTACGTAGAAACCCAGGGGTTCGTCATCATAGCTGTATGGAGGCACATAGACATAAGTCCAGGCTGGATCGTCGTACTCTGCAATAAAACACAGTATTGCATAAAATCCCGCAAGAGGCGTATCATTCCCTACATGTATAGAATGATGTACGATAACACACTTAAACTTATTATCATACTAGTCACTGTCTTGCAATCTACCAAATGTCATATTGAATGACTATAAGCAATTAGCAAGATTGTGAGTCCATGATAAAAGTATGTGTAAAAGTGTCTAGTGCAAAAACGCTGACTTCAGCAGAAATGGTATTTGCCAACTGAGTTTTAGAGATCACATATGGTGTCTACCACTATTTGTTAACATTTAATTGGTTAAGGCATTAGATAAAATGATAACACCATGCACTGTATTCTATCCACAAGTACTAGCATTTTGCCATGGAAAACACCAGCATGTGAACTGGTCAAATTCGACTGAAACCTGCAACTTTCCTCACGGTGGGACACGTGTTGTGGATTAGGGAGAACAGTGGTTCACCTGGTATAAGAAGCTCTGTTTCTATCAGCAGACTCATTTCTGTCTATAGCAATTGATCTCATAAATCTGAGGTTGATAAAGGAGAGTGGCTAGAATACATTCACTGGTTAACAATATAGGAAAATGGAAAACTCTGTAATTTAATATTTAATTGTGTTCTTGATGAGAATGAACTTAACCCCCCCAACCCCCCCAACAATGATGATGCTAAAAAAAACTTACATAATTTGGACATGTAATCTGTTTACGGATAAATTAGTTTTGGGAAGAAAAAAACAAAGCAAGTTTAATTTCCATTAAGTCTGTAGTACAATTAGTAAATAGTAAAATACTGATAATTTTAGATTCAAGCAGTTCACTTAAATATCATATTAGTCAGACCCCACATACCGTGTGGAAAAGTTATAAATGAAGAAATTTTAATGAAACATTTTGTGCGATACTTTCTTCATACTTGTAATTCTCTGTCGAGAAGAATGTGATTTTATCTTTGTATCTATAACAACGCTTACAACAAATGGTTGACAATGTCTTATTAAGGTCTGCAGAACATGAACGACTCGAGTCAGAACAATTAACTAGAGAACTGCATGACGACAGGGAAAAACTAATGTGCTGACAGGAATGAGGAAGTAGAAATTCATCTCTGAAGAATTTACTTCTCTATGCAATACCAGTGCAAAACAGAATATAAAACAAATGAATAGATGAAAGATTTTTTTTTTATAGTATTTTAATTTGTAAAAACTATTTAGAACCATAAAAAATGGTTTGGGAAGCTGTTTAATTGGTTTGAAACGACTAGGATAGAATAGACTAGTCAGTATTTCAACTATACTTCGAACAAATCTACTGCACAATGTCACTAAGACTAAATATTGCATATTGTTTTCTTTTGTTGCACAAACGACACACATTTGAATTACATTAATTTTACTGTGTAAAATAACTTAATTTGGAAGCATTTTTTTTAAAAGTGCTTTTTTCAACAAATTCTCTTCATAGTTTTGAATTAAAACCGATCAGAATTTAATTTAAAATCTTTTTTTTATATAGATTAATTGCTTTTTTACTTGGAATTAGATACAAATCTTAATCTGAATCTACAAATTCTGAAAATAAGAAAGAATATGAATTACAATGTTTGTTAAATATAAAGATACTATAATTGTCTTACCTATGTAGTATGCCATTTTGTTCACCCCGCTCCCGTGCCTCTCACAGCTGGTAAAAATTAGTGGCGTCTCGGTGCGACTTACTGAGGTGATATACACTCACTGCAGTGTAGGCGTACATGCACAGTACTCTCTCTCTCTCTCTCTCACTCTCTCTCTCTGTATATGAATATAGGAAAGGTACAAAACTCTTGGAGAATTTCAATTTATTATTATTTTTATTATTATTATTTTATTCTGCGAAAGTTTTGAAATTGGTTAATAATTTGTCAGCCGTGCTAATATGTTATAAATACATCTTGCCAAATCTTGCCAGATTTCTATTAATATAACGAGAGAATTGTTAACAAATTGTTAAATTGATTTAAAATAAGTCATTTGAATATGTAAGGACAATCTTCCTTTTAATACATGGTCTTGTGGCCTAAAATCCAACCTGATGTATGCAGATCTAGATATGGAAAGATGATGAACGATAACTTTAAGTCACATTCCACATGTGCATACCACACTATAAGTGTAACTGCAAAAATAATCAAAGAAGATCATTGTAAAATTGTTTTAATAGCTATTTTATTTATTATGCATTGAACAGTGCAATGCGGGCGAATTTTGATATATGTACACTGTACTAACAATTTCCAATATATTTGTGTATTTTCTAGGAATAATTTCAATATTGATTTGATATTTGTAACCTTGCATTAAAAAAAAAATAATACCGAAAATCCTTGCCTATTGCTTAAGGACCCTCTTGTCACATTTAGAGTACCAAAATGAAAAAAAGGTGAATATAACGAATAGTGACCAATTTAAAAAATCTACAAACAATATAAATTTGAGAAAAGGGCACAAAAACATGGACCTCCGGAAATTCCAGAAAGGGGGGGGGGGTCAGGTGCTTAGAAGGAGTAAGCTTCCCCTGTTGACCTGTCACATCAGCCGTAAGCGAAATGCTAACTTTAAACGAGGTCGTTGAAATCCCTGTAACATCAACTTATCTGTCAGTAGCCTGCCTCAGTTTAAAAAAAAATGATCGCACTCAGAACATGCTCTTGAGTATCGAATAGATTGGGAGACGTAAACAGCATATGCAGATGATGGCGGGATATTACTACACGTACATAAATAAGGGAAATTGACGATGGAAAAACTGAAGTCATCTCCTTAAATATCATACAAATTAGTTGTTAGTTGGCCCTTATCGTCTGTAGTCAGTAAAACATCAAAATATGAAAAAGATGTGGCAGACTGTGTTGTGTCTATTATTTCAACTTGACTGGGGTATATCAAGTCGACATATAAATGGAAGTAACTATTGTTAATTGATAAAACGTCGTCGATATATATGAATGTAGAAATGAAGGCCACAGCAAGTGTTTAAATTTTTTAAATTTTAAGTTTTTGAATAAATTCTGTTTTGAACATATGAGGTCAATGAGGAACTCCAGCATCCTTTTAATATCAAAATTGTTGTATTATATGTATTGGTTATAAGCGGAAAAGTGTCCATTATGTCTGATATTAGATTAGTGAGAGTTTAATACTTATATCTGACATAATGGTCAGTTTTCAGCTTATAAATTTCTTCAAACATATCACCAATGTCGAACACTCCCGATGAACTGCCGAATGTCACCTGAAGAATCCTATTTTTGCCTCAAAAAACGTCGACCGTTGGTCGTTTTTTTTTTGGAAATGTGACTGGTGTTTACTGGATTGCTACAGGTAAACGGGTCTGATTCTGCTTAGATGACTTTCCTTGCACTGTTCATTAAGTTATGCCAAAGGCATTTTCTTCCGTACTTTTTCAATAGTAAAAAACTAAAAATCATCGATCCATGTTTCATATCGATAAATATAAAATCAACTTTGATTAGTGTTATTTATCCGCATTGCGACATTTTTAATACATTTGTATATACATGTACTAAGCATGTGTTAAAGTTAGTTCTATTAAATTCTTGACAATTAATTTATTCATTTTACATCGGAACATCACGGATGATGGCGTACATTTCAAAACACAACGACTTCTTCAGATTCAGGTATTCTTGATAATGTCAACAATGGAAAACACCAAAATTTCAATTTTCTACCGAGAAATCCGGAGATACTCATGTACTGTATTTCGGAGTTTGAAAGAAATCGTTTCTCGATTGATTTGAAGGATTTTACTCCAACCATTGTTTACTCTTGATATTTTTTGTGAAATTGAGAGTTTTTTCTAGACTAGTACTTTTTTTCTAATTTGCAACATTTCCTCGATTGTGTGCAGGTTTTGAAGAATCTTCTGCCACTCCTGAAAAGCAACAACAGACACTTGCACAACCAGGACTGGACGGACAACAGATTTACATCAAAAGAACCAGTTGAAATTTGGTGACTTGCATAGTTAAAGACAGAAAAAATGGATGTTCCACTTAGACAAAAATCAAGGATATGTGTAAGGAAACACATGATTCTATGAATGTTCCTTGTTTCAATCAATGTAAAATAAATAGTAATAACCGATGAATTTATGAAATTGTTCATATCAAATTGTTTGATTCGTCAAAGCTTTTTCAGTGCTGTTTATTTATCTACATCGCCCTTTGTTTTCATTCCAATGTTACTTATAGCTGTCCAGTAAGTTGAAGCTTATTAGACACCTACAGGTAACTTACTGGACGGATTGCAGGGCAATAAGAAATTTACTGGACCAGGTTGAACAGAAGATGACGTCGAACAATTTTTTCATTTACAGTTACCCTGTACCGGACCTTTCATTCTAACACCCTTTATGGTACACATCCGTAACTTGTTTTTATTCACCCGAGTTTAGGCTTTCACTCTCTTAAAACGGCTACCAGCCTGAGCACAGATTTTTACAGTCAACAAAATATTTAGAGTAATTTGTAAATCATTATGCATTTCCATTGGTAAAGAACAAGTCTCAATAAGGCTTATCAGTGGTCCCCGGTTACTCGTCAAATTTCGAACATTTATTTAAATTTTTAAAAAATTAAATTTTATTATTAACTAATGTCTTTATTATTTGAATCATCATCTAAAAATGTCAAACAATAAATATAGGCAGCATACGAAGCTGCGCGTTGAAGGTAGGGTCCTTTGATTTTCATGAATATCAAAAGAAATCAGTGACACGTACACATTTCAAAGGTTTTGTAAACACCGAGCACAGGTTTGTTCAGAGTCAAGTTTGAAATATAATGTGTATATTATATGTGTAAAGGTTGAGTGAAAATATCTTTGTTGAACAACCTTGTGCTCTCTGTAGTATTGTGATTTTGAATCTCTTCGCTGACTTCATTTACATGCGATTAACCTCTTTATGACCTGTTTAGAATCAGTCTCAGTTGAAACGTACTCAGTTTTATATCGATCAGCATGGACTTGTTTGGTTCATCTTGTTATAGTTTTTATTGCCAAAGTTTTGTATGAAATAGAAAATTGTATTTGTAGTTGATTGTGAATCTTGAACATATGAATTCGTCTTTGAAAAAAAATATCATACCAAGTTCTTTTTAAAGTATCTAATCTAAATGTCCCCGCCCATTTCCATGTAATAGAGAAACCGTAGTCTGATCGGGGGAAAATGTTCCGGCATTTTTTTTTAGTGCGATAGGTGTTAAAAATAGGCTTGTATTTTTTGATATGTTTAATTATTCATTATAAATACACAATGTTTTAATTGGAAATCCTTCGTTATACACAATGAAAAGAAACAAAGTACCGTATACTATTATTTAACCGGTAAACCAAGGGCGTAAAAAGGGACCACACTACTATACTTAAGTAGAATACTCCTTTAACAGTATAGAAATTCAAAACTTTACAGACACGACCTCTGAGGTGAGTAACATACATTTAAATGACTGTGTATGAGGGCAATGCATTAAGTCGGACACAAGAACCAACCCGTTTGCATGAGGCCGCCTTGTGTTGCCAGAGAATATAGTCAATGTTTTCTTATACCTTTCGTTTTTTTATATAATGACGAATCTTGCATTAGCTTTCATGTTTGTGATAGGTAACAGGGGATGCTTACTCCTCTCAGGCACCTGATCCCACCTCTGGAACTTCCAGGGGTCCGTGTTTTATGCCCTGATTCGAATTACTATACCTATAATGGATTTGTAAACTACATATAAATCCTTCCAAACAAAGATCCATGGGTGGGGGGGGGGGGGTGTTGCTAGGAAATGTTCTACAAAACCCCTTTCTTTACTCCTCACCAAAATATTTACAGCAATGAAGGAGAAACCTCAGAAATACTGTACAACAACATATTCGATATTATAAGTGGCGATAATCAGACAAATCTAATTAAGGAACTTTTAGAAAATTTGAAATCACAAAATTTTACCAAAATCTATAGCAAACGTACAATGTTTCAACACCTTATACAACCTTTCCCACGATAAATTAAAGTCTGGGCTTTTTGACATCAAGGACAAATGCTTTTTCAATAAAAATGGAACTCGTAAATTTAAATGTACATACCCCGTCAGTGGTCATCTCCAAAATTATTACCTAAAAATCATCCTGATTGTACACACAAGTATATGTACGTTACTCCAAAGTTTTTTTTTTTTTTTTTTTTTTTTTTTTTTTATTGCCCCAGCGATATATAAGATTCGATGGATGGCGCCAAGGTTGGGGAGCCCTGGACTCACCAAACTTACAAGCATGAAATATAGCCAATAGTAATGATGACAGACACATGGCACTATAGTAAATAAACTACTACATATAATGTACTACTAATATAAACACTATATATTTTAATATTCAACCAGGACAATTTTTCATTGGAAAAAAAAATAATATGTAAACAAATCCTTTCACACCCCATGCATCCAATATGTGTATGTATTTACCAGAAAAGTTATCAAAATAATGAATAACATAATGGTTTTAAACAAGTACAATTTTAACCAACATTAGAAAACAGTGAAGAAAAAAGACCCCATCTCTTTTCAAATAAAGCCAATTCATTATTCTTTTTATATATAAATTTTTCAATTTTATAATAATGATTGATTTCCTTTTTTGCTCCTTCTATGGTTGGTAGTGACTTACAAATTCTTTTCTTATAAATATGCCTTTTTACTATACATATTAAAAGATTC